CTGTGGAGCACCTCACCAAGTCAGCTTATGCTGTTGCCCTTTTGAACGTCTCTGTCAAACCAATCCCCTTAAAAAAAAAAGGGGTTGATTTGTCACAGAAGTTCGACAGGGCAACATCATCAGCCGAACTGACGAGGTGCTCCACGACGCTATCAAGGACCCACCCACCCACAACACTGTCAAAGGCCCACCCACAGCAAAAGGAGCAGAGGCTGCAGGTCCAAACCTCAACCTCGATGTCAGTTTCGGTGAAGAGAAAGCCATGGTCAACCTTGAAGGTCACTAAGGGGGGATGCTGCCTGATAATCCTAGCCCTAACATGCTGAAGTTGCTTTATCGTGACGAGGAAGAGATTATTGATGCGAATCCTCCTCACAACAGCAAAACTGTTGTAGTCACGGGTACGATGGTTGCTGGAGCAAATGGAGCACGAATTAGAGGAAACATTGACCAACATAGGTTACTAAACATCAGGAAGGCAGATGATGGCGGGGATCGCCTCGACAAGGGGGTCGTTGTCAGCGAGGGCGCGAACACCGAGCAATATGCATGCGTTGTGATGCTATGGAGAGGGTGGGAGGAGATGGAGTGTGCTAGGGGAAACATGGTGCAACAAAAGAGATGGAGTGATTGAACTAGGAGTGGAGTGGAGTGAGAGGGAGTGGAGTGAGAGGGAGTGGAGCGAAACGAGTGAGCCAGGACCACACTGTCAGGAATCGACGCGCCCTCCACACCACAATCGTGTCACGCCTTCACAGAGAGTGTAGAAGACTCAAAACACAGACGTATGTTAGGCCTTGCTAGCACAGCCGTGCCACACCTTGCTAGCACAGACGTGCCTCGCCTTGCTTGCTAGCATACCGGTGCCTCACCTTGCTAGCAAAGGCTTTGCTGGGGAAGCGGAGGAATGCGGGAGGGAGTGCTCATGGCCTTTTGAACGAGTCGGACGGGAATGAGCGAGTCCTCCCACTTTTAGGCTTCACACGCTCTAATAAGTTCAATAAGCATTGGTGATTGGCACTTACAATGGCAGAGGGCAGCTGGATGGGCGTGGGAAGGAGTGCGTCAGAGTCGACAGCCTTTTGAACCAGTCGGACGGGAATCAACGAGTCTTCCACACTGCTGTCTGTGGTGTGATTGACACTGGTGGTTGTGACTTACAATAGCAGAGAGCGGCTGGATGGGCGTGGGGAGCAGCGCGTCAGAGCCGAGGGCCTTCTGAACCAGCCGGACGGGAATCAGGGAGTCTTCCACACTGTCGTGATGCGATGTGGTGCCCTGCCGCATCTTGTAGCCCAGGTCTCGCTGAGATGCATGGGAGGAAGGGTGGGGGGGGAGCTGGTAACTTGTTGAACAAGGCGGACCGGGAGTAGGGAGTCCTCCACACTGTCGTGGTGCGATGTGTCCCCTTGCCGCATCTTGTAGCCCAGAGCACTCTGCAAGGGGGGAGCGGGGAGGAGGAGTGGGAATGGAACAGGAAGTCAAGAAAGAATCAGACGGGAATCAACGAGTCTTCCACACTGTCGCGATGTGATGTGCTGCCCTGCCGCATCTTGTAGCCCATATCACGCTGCAAGGGTGGAGTGCGGAGGATGGGAGACGGGGGAGGGGTGAGAGAAGGCTAGTGGTGGTTGCTTGAAGCACTTGGACGGGGATCAACGTGTCCTCCACACTGTCGTGATGTGTTGTGCTGCCCTGCCGCATCTTGTAGCCCAGATCTTGCTGAGATGCATGGGAGGAAGGGTGGGGGAGGAGCTGGTAACTTGTTGAACAAGGCGGACCGGGAGTAGGGAGTCCTCCACACTGTCGCGGTGGGATGTGTCCCCTTGCCGCATTTTGTAGCCCAGAGCACGCTGCAAGGTCGGAACAGGCAGAAGGTGAGAGAGTGAAGAGGACCGGAGTGATTTGGTGCAGACTAAAGAGGCAGTCGGACAGGGATCAATGAGTCTGACTGAGAGTGATGAGTGAGTCCTCCCCACTGTCGTGGTGGGATGTGTCTCCCTGCCGCAGCTAGTTCCCTAGTGTACGCTGCAAGAAGGGGAGGGGGGAAACAAAACAGGAAAAAACGTTCTGTGTGGGCTCAAGAACCAGCCGGCGAGAAGCCTGGGAGAGAGAGGAGATGACTAACCTATGCCAGCCAGACTATGTTTTTTTGAAAATTCTCAAAAGGCATACACTGCAAGATGACTAACCGATGCCAGACAGGGAGAATCACTCACCAGCGCAACGAGAGCAGGAGGTAGGTAGACCTCTTGCTCTCGTTAGCGCAACGAGGTAGCTGCACGGTGGACGTATTAGAGTCCATTGATGTGATAATGACTAACCAATGCGCAGCAGAGGAGCAGTGATGGGTCGATGACCAACCCAAGGCCATGCCAGACAGGGCCGATCTATCTTGAGCCAGGCCTGGGAGAGAGAGAGGAGATGGCTAACCGATGCCAGACAGGGAGAATCACTTACAAGGGCAACAAGAGCCAGAGGTAGCTGGACGGTAGACATGTTTGAATCCATTGAGTTGTAGCGGAAGAGCAGCGATGTGTCGATGACCAATGGATGGTCTATCTTGAGCACTGCATGGCATGGCAGGGATGGGATGGCCTGGGATGAGATGGCATGGGATGGCATGGGATGGCATGGGATGGCATGGGATGGCATGGGATGGCATGGGATGGCATGGGATGAGATGGCATGGTATGGCTTTTGAGGCGCCTCAAAATTAAGGCATAATGGAAGAGCAGGGATGTTTCGATGACGAGTGGATGGTCTATATTGAGCTCTGCATGGCGTGGCATGGGGGCATGGGATGGCATGAGATGGTCACGGTTGCATAGATGTATCATGTATGTGTCCACATGGCACGCATGTGGCACAAGAGATGCACAAAACAAAGGTTCAGGTGAGGTGAGATCAAAGCGGAAGTGGTGAGGAGTGGGAAAAAAATATCAGCAGCCACAGATAGAGGGGCAAACTATCGCACGTGGCAAATAGTAGCTTATCAATACTTTGCTATTTGCCGAAATGTTCACAGCCGAGGTGTCAGTTTGCTAATTGGCCTGGTGACATCCACATGCCACACAACATGTGTTCGTCCACGTCAGCAGGCTCACCATCCATGTCACCAGACACGTGGTGCCCCACCAGCACTGTGTTGGGTGTCAGCAGCGCCGCCACGTCACGCTGGCACGCCATGGCAGACAGAATAGGCGGAAAAGAGGGGTAGGGGAGGGAGGGCAGGAAGAGAAGGAAGTGAAAACTTGGAAGTGGTTGGGAATACTTTAGACAGGTGATCACTCACGACCATCCATGCCACCATGTTCCAAGTTGGTCACCAGCAATTGTAGCATGGATGGTCACCAGTCACATGTTACCCAACCAGTAATTGAAGAGAATGTTTAAGAATTTCACCCCTCCCCCCCCCCTCCCTTCCACTTCTTCCCACCCCTTCCTCCTCCTCCCTCCACACACACATCGCACCTGTGTATCCTCCCACCCACGTGCATGTGACCATCTCAACAATGCCTCCCCCTTCAATCAACTCCGTGATCTCTCAAGTGACTTGTAATTCAGCTCACGAGTCACCTTATGTGTGCAGCAACCACACACACTCGCCCTTACCACATGTCACACACACATTGCACCTGTGCATCCTCCATTTATGTGTGTGTGATCTTCTCAAAACCTCCCCCTTCGACTCCGTGATCCCTTCTCAGCTCACTCACGAGTCACCTTATGTGTGCAGTGGTGATCACACAAACAGGCACACAACTAGCACATGTCATGTCACACAGAACGCACGCACCTGTGCGTCCTCCCATCCCATGTGTATTTGACCTTCTTGGAATCCTCCTCCTTCAGCCCAATGATGTCCAAAGTGATGAGTCGATTTTTGAGCCGACTCAAAAATCGATTCTTCGGCCCATTGATCTCCAAAGTGACTTGTGAATCGACAAGCACTTGTCACACGCACACAGAACGCACATGTGCATCCTCCCACGTGTATGTGACCTTCTTGAAATCCTCCTCCAGCCCTGTGATCTCAGTCACATACGCATGCAAACACGCACGCGCACGCAAACGCACACGCACACGGACACGCGCGCACACACACACACCTGTGCATCCTCCCACGTGTACTTGACCTTCTTGAAATCCTCCTCCTTCAGCCCGGCAATCTCCTAAGTGACTCGTATAACGAGAAGCGCGTACAGCACAGCACGCACACACCTGTGCGCCCTCCCATGTGTATGTGACCTTGAAATCCTCCTCCTTTAGTGATCTCCCACATGCACCACACTCACAGCACTCACGACAAGCACATGTCACACTCATCGCACCTGTGCGTCCTCCCATGTGTATTTGACCTTCTCGAAATCCTCCTCCTTCAGCCCGGTGATCTCCGTCACGTATGACTTCACTTCTCGTTGCGGTTTCACCAGCCGATCCAATAGCACCTGCAGAGAACAGGGGGGGGAGTGAGTGGGTGGTCAGTGAGGGAGGAGGACGTTATCAAGGAAAGTATGTGGCAATCGTTGGCAGCCCTTCTCCTCCTTCAACCCGTATGACTTCACTTCTCATTGCGGCTTCACCAGCCGATCCAGCAGCACCAGCAGAGAAAGGAGGAAGGGCGAGAGGCGGTAGGGAGTGGGTTAATCAAGGAAACTATGTGCTAAGATCGCAGCCCCCATCCTCCTTCAACCCGGTAGTCTCAGTCACGTATGATTTCACTTCTCGTTGCGGCTTCACCAGCCGATCCAACAGCACCTGAAGGGACGCGGAGAGAGAGAGAAGTGAAGGTGGAGAGAGAGAAGTGAAGGTGGAGAGAGAGAAGTGAAGGTGGAGGGGAGTAAAGGAGGAGGGAGGGAGGCATCACTTCTCCTTCTTTAATCATGAGATGTCGGTCTTTAATCATGAATTTGTATCATGAGATGTCGGTCTCGATACAAATTCACTTCCCTCTGTAACTTCACCAGCCGGTCCAGCAACACCATTGGGCCCATTCACATTACACTGTACCCACTTCACCGCACTACACCGCATCTCACCTTGCCCTTGCCGTCCACCACAGAGTCCCTCGTCAGCTCCATGGGCTCTTCATCGTCCCACGTCTCACACATCTCACAGTCCATCCCCACCAGCCTCAGCTTCTCCCTCCATCTCCAACGCACACAACACTCCACCGCAAAACACCGAATTGAACCTCACTGCACCGCACTGCTCCCCGCGTCACCGCACTGCACCACATCTCACCTTGCCCTTGCCGTCCACTACAGAGACTCGTGTCAGCTCCATGGGTTCTTCATCATCCCACGTCTCACACATCTCACAGTCCATCCCCACCAGCCTCAGCTTCTCCCTCCCCTCCTTCGCCTTCCCCTTCTCCTTCTCCTTCTCCTTCTCCTTCTCCTTCACCTTCTTCTTCCCTCCATCAGCCTCCTTCTCTACCTCTGCCTTCTCTTCTTCTTGCTTCTCCGCATTGCTGTCTGCATTTTGATCCGAGCGGACCCAGCCCTGGGGAGCGAAAGGGTAAGCATAGATACACACAGAATACAGGGCACATGGAGAAGCAGAAAAGCGGGTAGAGAGACGACTTGTGAGGTGCCTCAAAAGTCGCACAGAATAGAGGGCACATGGAGAAGCAGAAGACAGGGGTACTTGTTTCCTTGTCCACCCTGCTGTGTGCAACTTCATTCTTGTGGACCCAGCCCTGGAGGCGAAGGGTAATCTTAGATGGAGCAGCAACGCGTGGGATGTAGAAAGAGTAATCATAATGATATGAACAAGTGAAGTTGGGTGCAGAGCAGGATACACCCTAGCCGCTGGCCGTGAGTTTCAATTGGTCAGCTCAACTCTACTAAGAAAACGCGGAATTTCCTGAACCGCTGGGCAGATTCTTTGGGTAGCGACAAGGTGAATTTTGAGGCGCCTAAAAAATCACATCAATGCAAGCGAAATTCCTTGAACAGGGCAGATTCTTTGTGTAGCGACAGAATTGCTTGCACCCCACCACGGGTGACTCAGCACCAACTAACTAAACATTCAGTGAAGAGCTTCATATGAAGACTTACAGATTGGTTACACTGAGAGTCCTAGCTTGATTACAAACATTGACAAATACAATTGAAATCACAGACCAAGTTGCACAAACAACAACTGACCTCCATGAATGATGGGAATGTGAACGCCTTCTTATAGCGGCAGTGGGCGCGAGTGCAGCGAAGCAGCCACTAGAGGGATAGTGGGACAGGACGCAATGGTGGGATGGGATATGAGACAGCAAAATGGGAACATGGGTAGGGAGATTAAGTATACTCACGTACGTATGGTCTACTCACGTCTAAATCGATCTTGATCTTAGACGTGAACTTACACAATGGAGTGAAATCAACTCACCATGATCTTCATAGTCCTCCCTCTCCCCATATTGTGTGTGCCCATCCCTATCCTTCACATTGAATGAACCGCCTCAGAAACCATCTCACCATGATCTTCTTGCAGCTCTCCCTCATTCCAACCTCTGCAAAGCATCTTTTCGCCTCCCTCTCCTCCCTCTGCTTCTTCAGTGCTCTGTTGCTGTGCCTTCTCCTTCCCCTCAACAGATACCATCTCACCATGATCTCCTTGCTGCTCTCCCTCATCCCACTCTTTGTTGTAAACGCCCTCGTCGCCCCCCGCTCCTCCCTCTGTTCCTGCAACGCTCTGTTGCTGTGCCTTCTCCTTTCCCTTAACAGATATCATCTCACCATCATCTTCTTGTTGCTCGCCCTCATTCCATCTTCTGCAAACGATCTCTTTGCCTCCCTCTCCTCCCTCTGCTGCTGCAACGCTCTGTGCTGCTGCAGCAACTGTGTATGAATAGAAGGGGATACGGGAGGAAGCAGGAAAGGAGAAAGAAAGAAAGAAAGAAACATGTAAGGGATCAAGCCGTCAGTATATTCGCCTCCCTCTGCTGCTGCAACGCTCTGTGCTGCTGTAGAAACTGTGTATGAATTGGAGGGGAAACGGGAGGAAGCAGGAAGGGAGACAGAAAGGAATGTGTGAGAGAAAAAACATCAGTGTATGTGCCTTCCTCTCCTCCCTCTGCTGCTGCAAAGCTTTGTGCTGCTGTAGCATCTGTGCATGGGGGTGCCACGGCGGGTGCAGGAATAGCCACGTGAAAGAAGAGTGCTTTTGAGACGTCTCAAAACATCCCTTTTATCACGTCTCAAGACGTCTCGGAAACACCCCTCCCTCTGCTGCTGCAACGCTCTGTGCTGCTGTAGAAACCATCTGTGTGCATGGGGTGCTGTGGGGGGTGCAGGAAAAAGAAGAGGGTGCAAAGAGAAAAAGGCTGAACAAAAGAAACAAAAGAGAGTCACGAAGGGAACAAACAAACAAGGCACGCTTTTTGCATTTTGCTCTTGCTAACCTCTCCCTTGCTAACCTCTCTGCTGCTCCATCTCCCTGCTCCAAACCCTGGCACCGGCTGACAGTTTCAGTGAGCAATGTAATGCCAGGACCTCAAGCACCTCGAGCCAGAAGACGACTTTTGCGGTGCCTCCAAACCAAATCCTGCCCTGCCAGCCACCAGCTGACAGGTTCAGTGGGCGACGTAACGCACCCATGCAACCCATGCAGCCCATGCAACCAAGCCGAGCCGAGCGCCTCGTGGGTGATTCTTGAGAATTCTCGAAAGTCACTCAGTGGGCAACGTAACGCACGCACCCATGCAATGCAACCAAGCCGAGCCGAGTGCCTCGCTCACTCGAGTCGACTCATAAGTCAATTGGCCACGCGATAAAGGAAGTGATTTGAGACGTGCTATGTCGTCTCAATCTCAAAACACTTGTTTTGTCAAGTGGAAAGCGATGCCACAAACCCACCAGCAGCACCCACCCACGGCTGGCTGCCGGCTCACAGGTGCAGCCACAGCATGGTGGAGATGCAACCCAGTTTTGAGAATTCGAGGTGACTTTTGAGTCGACTCATAAGTCACCCACGGCTGGCTGCCGGCTCACAGGTGCAGTGCAGGCACAGTATGGAGTCTCCATCATGGAGATACAACCCACTTTTGAGAATTCTCAAAAGTGCTGCCAGCTGGCTCAGCGGCTGACTGGCAGGCGCAGCGCAGCCACAGTATGGAGATGCAACAACCCATGCAACAATGTATGCAGCAGACCCTGCAGCCATGCCATGCACCTCGCCTCGCCCACCTGCTTGGCTCGCAAGTTTTGAGACGTATCAAAACATCTCTTTTGAGACTGCATGGTCCCTTCTTAACAATGTACGCAGACCACATGCAGCCATGCCATGCACCTCGCCTCGCCCACCTTTCTTGGCTCGCAAGTTTCCAGCCTCTTCCAACCAGCCTCGCCATGCCACACCACAAACCCCACCACCAGCACCTGCGGCTGCCGGCTCACAGGCCGACTGGCAGGCTCAGCGCAATATGGAGATGCAACCCATGCAGCCAAAGCCGAGCACCTCGCCCACCCACCTTCTTCACTCGGAAATTCCCAGCCTCTTCCAGAGATGCCACAAACCCCGCCACCAGCACCCACGGCTGCCGGCTCACAGGCTCCCAAAACCCTCCCCCCCCCCGCCTCCCCATCCTCTTCCCCCTGCCCCTCCCCCGAACCCCCTTCCCCCACCACCACCTCCCCCTCCGCCCCTCCCCCCTCCGCTTCTTCCCCCTGCTCCTCCCCCGAAGCCCCTGCCTCCGCCCTTCCCCCAGGGGCGCTTGTGGGGGGAAGGGTTCTCCCCCTGCCCTGCAGCCACTTCCCCCAGCCCCCCTTGCTGCCCCACGCGCCCCTCCTAATGGCATCCAGTGCTATCGCTGCCAGCACCTGTGGGGGTAGGGGGACAGTCAAGAAAAAAGGACTGATTTATCTTATCCTTCCCTTCCACCCCTCTCCCTGCCTTGCAGCCACTTCCCCCCTATGTTGCGGAAGACGCGTCTAGCGTCTTAGACGGTTGCGTCTAGACGCAGCGTCTAAGACGCTAGACGCATTTCAGGCCAGATTAGACGCATATTAGACGAAACCCCGGGCAGGCAAAAAAAATAGTACGGGCAGCCTAAAAAACCTTCTATAGGCCATGGGGAGGGGGAGGGGGAATGGGATGAAGACGACCTCTGGGTATAGCAGACAAATTACACATTCATCGAGATATAGAACGTCTAGATCTAACATTGACGCTCACAATTTCATATCTCAAATTGGTTGGGTTTTCTAGATTCAGTGCGGTGAAGATCGGTAATGGGAGGGGGAATTGGTTGGTCACGAAATGGTTCACAAATTTGTTGGCTGCGGGGAACGAATTCAATTTCGACTTAGCTTTCCGTTTCTCAATTTCTCTCACACCTCCTCCGATGCTTCTTCTAGAACGTCTTTATTTGCAAGGCTCATGGTAGAGCAGAGGAGTGCAACACTTTAGTCCTAGCTGCTGATACTATTATGGGGGGTGGGGCTAACAGCTAGGTTTGGGGGATGTTATCAAGGTCGAAATGGGTGGGAGGGGTTTAAATCTTTCCCCCATGTGTCTAGCGTCTAAAGGTGCGTCTTGCGTCTAGCGTCTAGACGCTGCGTCTAGACGCTAGATGCAGGACGGTCCCTGCGTCTTCCGCAACATAGCTTCCCCCAGCCCCCCTTGCTCCCTCTCGCGCCCCTTGTCACTGCATGCAGCAGCGCTAGCTAGCTATTGCTGCCATGCCAGCACACTGCCCCCTTTCTCCACCGCCCCTCCCTCTGCTGGCCCTATCCGCTGTCCACCCCTTCGTTCACACCCAAACAGAACCCTACTAACAGAACCTAAAACCCTACTTTCAGAACCCGAAACCCCTTTTTTTCTGGCAGCAACACCCTGCCCACTCCATACAGCATCTCCCTTCACGGAGCCCATGCGCCTCTAGCAACTTTTGAGGCGCCTCAAACCCAAAACCCTCTTTTCTGACAGCAAGCAACACCCTGCCCTCTCCCCCCCTCTCCCCGTCCCCCCCCCCCCTCTCCCCGTTCCCCCCCCCCCCCTCTCCCCGTCCCCCCCCCCCCCCCCCCCCCCCCCTCCCCCTCCCCGTCCCCCCCCCCCTCCCCGCCCCCCCCCCCTCTCCCCGTCCCCCCCCCCCCTCCCCGTCCCCCCCCCCCTCTCCCCGTCCCCCCCCCCCTCCCCGTCCCCCCCCCCCTCTCCCCGTCCCCCCCCCTCCCCTCCCCCGTCCCCCCCCCCCTCTCCCCGTCCCCCCCCCCCCCCCCTCTCCCCGTCCCCCCCCCCTCTCCCCGTTCCCCCCCCCTCCCCCCGTTCCCCCCCCCCTCTCCCCGTCCCCCCCCCCTCTCCCCGTCCCCCCCCCCCCTCTCCCCGTCCCCCCCCCCCCTCCCCGTCCCCCCCCCCTCTCCCCGTCCCCCCCCCCTCTCCCCGTCCCCCCCCCCTCTCCCCGTCCCCCCCCCCCCTCCCCCTCCCCCCCCCCCCCCCTCTCCCCGTCCCCCCCCCCTCTCCCCGTTCCCCCCCCCCCCTCCCCGTTCCCCCCCCCCCCTCTCCCCGTCCCCCCCCCCCTCTCCCCGTTCCCCCCCCCCTCTCCCCGTTCCCCCCCCCCCCCCTCCCCCGTCCCCCCCCTCTCCCCGTCCCCCCCCCCCTCTCCCGTCCCCCCCCCCTCTCCCTTCCCCCCCCCCCCTCTCCCCGTTCCCCCCCCCTCTCCCCGTCCCCCCCCCCTCTCCCCGTCCCCCCCCCCCTCTCCCCGTCCCCCCTCCCCCCCCCCCCCCTCCTCCCCGTTCCCCCCCCCCTCTCCCCGTTCCCCCCCCCCTCCCCCCCCCCTCCCCCCCCCCCCCCCCTCTCCCCGTCCCCCCCCTTCTCCCCGTCCCCCCCCCCTCTCCCCGTTCCCCCCCCCCTCTCCCCGTCCCCCCCCCCTCTCCCCGTCCCCCCCCCCCCCTCTCCCCGTCCCCCCCCCCCTCTCCCCGTCCCCCCCCCCCTCTCCCCGTCCCCCCCCCCCCTCCCCGTCCCCCCCCCCTCCCCTCTCCCCGTTCCCCCCCCCCCCTCCCCGTTCCCCCCCCCCCCCCCTCCCCGTTCCCCCCCCCCTCTCCCCGTCCCCCCCCCCCTCTCCCCGTTCCCCCCCCCCCCCTCCCCGTTCCCCCCCCCCCCCTCCCCGTTCCCCCCCCCCTCTCCCCGTCCCCCCCCCCTCTCCCCGTCCCCCCCCCCCCTCCCCCGTCCCCCCCCCCTCTCCCCGTTCCCCCCCCCCTCCCCTCCCCCCCCCCCCCCCTCTCCCCGTCCCCCCCCCCCTCTCCCCGTCCCCCCCCCTCTCCCCCGTCCCCCCCCCCTCTCCCCGTCCCCCCCCCCTCTCCCCGTCCCCCCCCCCCTCTCCCCGTTCCCCCCCCCTCCCGTTCCCCCCCCCCCCCCCCCCTCTCCCCGTTCCCCCCCCCCTCTCCCCGTTCCCCCCCCCCTCTCCCCGTTCCCCCCCCCCTCTCTCCCCCCCCCCCCCTCTCTCCGTCCCCCCCCACCTCTCCCCGTCCCCCCCCCCCTCTCCCCGTTCCCCCCCCCCCCCCCCCCCCTCCTCCCCGTCCCCCCCCCCGCTCTCCCCGCTTCACCCCGTTCCCCCTTTTACTCAGCATCCAAGCATACACGCTCACCTTGAGATCAAAGTAGCTTTAAGCATCAACTCCGAACTCTCCACCTCTCCCCAGCATCCATGCCTAACGCTGTATGTAGTGAGGGCGTTTTTGAGACGTCTCAAAAATCTCCCCAGCATCCATGCCTAACGCTCACCTTCAAAACGGCCTCCTTGTACCCTTGCGCTCTAAGCTCTTCTTCCTCTAAGCTCTTCTTCCTAAGCTCTTCTTCCTCTAAGCTCTTCTTCCTCTAAGCTCTTCTTCCTCTAAGCTCTTCTTCCTCTAAGCTCTTCTTCCTCTAAGCTCTTCTTCCTCTAAGCTCTTCTTCCTCTAAGCTCTTCTTCCTCCCTTGCGCCCTTGCGCTCTAAGCTCTTCTTCCTCCCTCTCAGCCAGCCCTCTCCCCCCCACCCATCTTCCCATCCCTCCACACACTACCCCACCCACGCTCACCTTAATATCGTCCTCCTTGTACCCTTGCGCCTTCAGCTCTTCCTTCTCTCTCTCCTCCCCTTCTCTCTTCTCTCTCTCCTCCCCTTCTCTCTCTCCTCCCCTTCTCCCTCTCTCTCTCTCCTCCCCTTCTCTCTCTCCTCCCCTTCTCTTTCTCCTCCCCTTCTCTCTCTCCTCCCCTTCTCTCTCTCCTCCCCTTCTCTCTCTCCTCCCCTTCCTCACCACAGCTCCTCCCCTTCTCTCTCTCCTCCCCTTCCTCACCACAGCTCCTCCCTTCTCTCTCTCCTCCCCTTCCTCACCACAGCTCCTCCCCTTCTCTCTCTCCTCCCCTTCCTCACCACAGCTCCTCCCCTTCTCTCTCTCCTCCCCTTCCTCACCACAGCTCCTCCCCTTCTCTCTCTCCTCCCCTTCCTCACCACAGCTCCTCCCCTTCTCTCTCTTCCTTCCCCTTTGCCCTCCCCCCACAAAAGGTTCCCCAGCTCCCCTTGAACTCGTCCTCACCACAGCTCTTCCTTCTCTCTCTCGCCTCCCCTTCCTCACCACAGCTCTTCCTTCTCTCTCTCTCCTCCCCTTCCTCACCACGGCTCTTCCTTGTACCCTCTCTCCCTCCATCCCCATCTCCTTCCCCATATCCCTCCCCCCCCCTTTGCCCTTCCCCCACACAAGTCCCCCCCCTCACCTTAAACTCGTCCTCCTTGTATCCTTGCGCCCTCAGCGCTTCCTTCTCCCTCTCCTCCTGTCGTTGCGCCTCCGTCATCCCCGCCTCTCGCGCGCGCCTCGCCTCTTCCGCCGCTCCCGTTCCCCTTGCTTTCCCCGCTTCCCCCGCCGGCTCGGGCAAGTCCGATCGCGCCGCGCGCGCATTTTTAGTAGGCCCTTTTTTACGACCCTTCTTAGACTTGGAATCAGTATTAGGGTCCGTAAACCCTTTCTTGGCGATCTTTCCGGGACGTTTCCTGGACGCTCTCTCACGTTCCGCGACCAAGGCGCCTACGTCCTCGTTTAGAGAGATCCCCTTAAGAATATAACCCGAATCGTCCCCTTCCCCCGAACCCACGCAGCCATTCTCATTCTTCCGCTGATTGCTGGTGGAAGCCGCCCCAGCAGATTTCTCTGCCGCGCCTTCCGCTGTCGCCTCCACCATCCAAGCTGTTTTCCGCCGCCGCTTCGCGGAGCCATCCGTTCCGCCAGCACCCGCTCTTCCCACCGCCACCGCATTGGCCCCGTCAGCTTTCCCCGCGATGCTCTTCCGTTTGCGGGGAGATTTCCCTGCCTTTTGCTCCGCGTGCGGGGACTTCTTGGCGGTGCTAGAGATTCCCATTTTCTCAGAGTCGCCGAACCTAAAACGCGACAACGGGAAGCCTTCGGGGACGCAAAACGCCGATTCGGCTAAGTGAAGCAGACTGTAGCCGCGTGGATGAACTTTTAGGGACCGTGCTGTATAGCGTCGAGAGGGGTTTAGGGTAGGCCAATACATGCTATAACCTGAAACCCCCTGTCATTCGCGGTATAGTGAGCTGCTCTGATTAACTACCCTTATCTACATAGATTCAGAATCGTTTGTCAACAAACCCTTTTCTTCACAAACAAAGAAACTCCATGTCAATGCCAAAAACAGTGGGCAGAAATTAATTATTCACAGTGATGAACTTCATTGGAATCAGTTAACTTCGTAAAAATCACTTTAAGGCTTCCGGAACAGGGCCCTAGATTTCAGCCTTTTTACGCTGATTCAACCCGTTTTCAGCCTTTTTTTCTGTACCAAGGCTGAATGATCTGCCTTTTTCCTAAAACACTTGGTGACTTTCTAGCGATTTTTAGTGGACAATGAAAATATTGGCTGATTTTCAGCGAGAATGTGCAAGCGAACTCTGATTTTTCAGTCTACCAAAAACAGGGTTGATTTTATCAGGGTAATTACCCTGATTTTAGGGTTATTTCAGACTTTTCACATTCTGGTCCCTGCAATTTCAGTTTAAACGACTTCTAATCACTGATCCTGTCAGATTAGTACTTTAGCGAACCCTGAAATTTTGTAAACACTCACAGAGTAGTGTTCTTATGGACCCAGTCAGTACAGAGTATGCGTCTTGTGGACCATGAATGCAATGGCCCTGATCGGTACACCCCCTACTCCGAGTTAATGGGGTTCTAGGGAGCTGACTAACTCCCCTTTTGGCACGTGTTACGGATAAAGTCACACCGACATGGCTTACTCCGAGTATGCCAAAATGGGCAAACGATCGCCCTCTCTCTCTACTCGGAGTACGACGCGAAGAAACCCTGCGAGATGATTCCTTTACGGGCAAACCTTATTCCGAGTAAGGCTCCCTCTACTCTAGGGTTTTGGTGGAGCACTCCTCGCTAACTCGGAGTATAACCTGGAGCCCCCAACCACACGTGTGATCGGGTCGTACTCCTCCGAGCATGCCAACAAGGCAGTCGCTCACTCGGAGTTAGGGCTAACCGATCAGGGCCAATGTCATCGAGACAAAGCTTCCAGGAATCTTCGTCCCGATAACCCCACATGTGCCTAATCATGATTACGCTTGCCCACATTTCACGGACCCCATGGGCGCGAAACAGGTTATCGCAGTACACTTTGTTTTGTTTACCATCACTAAAGATTTGGTTTCCGATTTGTGTTGAGCAATTTACTTAAACCGAGCAACAAATCGCCATCTGGCGGATCGCAGAGTGATTCGACAGGAAATAACAAAACAAAACCATCCATAGTGAAATACTGTATTGCCATGTGACTGATTGTTTTTTGTAATCAGCTGTTTTTCGCTAACCTTTAAAAAAAAAAAAAAAAAAAAAAAAAAAAAAACATGAGCAAGTGAAAATCCTTGGTGAAAATAAACGAAACACTAATATTAAAAAACGTCCCCCCCCCACCAAAACCAGGTCATGTCTCGACACCCCCTCTCATGAGCAGCATGTCCCCCCATTTCCTCCCCACCTTCTCCCCTTTCTCTTGTGCGGACGACCCGCAATCACGAAATAGCCTCCGCGCCAATCACTTGGTCCCTCCCCCTTCGCTCGCGCACCCCTCGCTCTTGCCCCTTGCGCCCCTACGAGATCCTCCCAAGCCACATGCACTCCCTCCAGCCAATCCAGCCAATCCAACCCAAACCAAACACGTCACTGTTTTTCTCGCCAAACTGGAAAGAAGAAAAAAATCAAGACTGATTTTAATTTGCCAACCCTGACAGCTCAGACTCGCAATTTTGTGAACACTAAACATCGCAAAAAGGCTCAGGCTTGGCGTTCTGCGGAAAATATGCCTGCAGGGTAAATTGCTTTTAGGGGGATTGAAAACAGGGCAGCCATATTTGAATTGTCAGCCCTGCCCCAAAACCGCCTGTTCACGAATATCGTGTAGTGAATAACCCTTATTTTGTTGAGGGAGCCGTTTTTCCAGTAAAAATAATAATTCACGCACGTACTATTTACATGCGACCACTACCATACAAGAAAAAAGCTGAAAAAAACTGTAGGTAGTTTGGAGGTATGAGTTATTGCCTTTTGAATGTGTATCTTTGGTTTTGTTGGCGCTGGCACCAGACTGGGATTGCGACCTTCGTTAGAAGGAATACGCGCATCGGCATAGCACGTCTCTACGCAAAGCCAACAAGACCAGTTGTCCAAGCCCACCCAAAAGTGACAGGAACGACCTTCCGTGCTTTCCGCCACCAACCAACCAGGTGTTAAGAACTGAAATGTTTGTTAATTGATGTGGGTTGGGGTACATATAGCAAACCCTAACATGTGTACCCCCTAAGACAAGCCTCACTACAGGCTACAACATTTGACACACCCCCATAGCCTAAGTCAGGGGTGTCTAGCAAAGACAAAAGAGTACGGTCACAAGACCAGTCACAAACAAACAAAGCTCAGGGTGGATCACAGCATCACCACACATTTCGAGCGCAAGCAAAAGAGCCACAAGGTCAGTTCAACAGTTTACAGGTATATAAGCAGCCAGTACAAGACAACAAATAACGACTATGCAAGACGAGAACCAGAGTCAACGAGACCTAACTGCACACAACACCTGGGTGGGCACAAGGCGGAAGCGCCTTGGTGAAGATGTCGGCAGTGTTGGCCTCGGACTCCACAAAGTCCAAGCGAGCCTGTCCACGCCTCTACAACTCTCGCAGAAGAAAGTACCTGACGTTGATGTGCTTCACTCTGCTCTCTAGTCGAGGCTCACGACAGAGAAGAATCGCCGCCTTGTTGTCAGTGAACAAGGTCGGTGCAGAGCTCGGCCGCTCACCAAGGTCTAAGAGCAAGAAGGTCAACCAACGCAGCTCCTGTGCAGCCATGGCTCCAGCGTAGATCTCAGCCTCAGCAGTAGAGGTCGAGACCGAGGAAGAGCGTGTGGGCCTCCACAAAATAGCTCCAGAGCCCAAGCTGAAACAGTAACCCAGAGTAAACCTGTGGGTCTCGTCGTCCTCAGCGTAAGAGAAGTCGCAGTAACCAGAAAGGATGACCGGTTGTGTCCCTCCAAGGACCAACCCCATGCCTGATTTCATTGCTAGGTACTTCGCCACCCTGACAGCAGCGGTCCAGTGAACTGGACGGTGTCTCCCTGGCGCAACAAAGCGAGCAAGGATGCTGAGAGGGTAGGCGAGGTCCGGGCGAGTACAAGTCATCAGGTACATGAGGCAGCCCACCAGCTCTGCGTAGGGTCCACTAGACTCAAACGGCTCGTCTAGAAAGGGACCAGTGAGACTATGGCCAACAGCAAGCGGTGTGCGCTGTACTGCAGAGTGCTGAAGCCCGAACCGCTGAAGGACCTGCTACACCATGTGTGACTGTGAGAGTGTAATGGTGTGAGCGGCTCTGTCCCTGGTGATTTGCAGGCCAAGGTAGTGGCGCAGCTCACCAAGGTCAGTGCACGTGTGTCTCTTCTGCAGTTCGCGCTTCACATCAGTGCCAAAGCAACCCTGTCAGGAGTGGAGAAAACCAGGTCGTCGATGTAGACCAGTACAAAGAACGGTGTGGAACCACAACAAACAAACAGCGACGGGTTGGCAGAAGAAGGTTGGAAACCGAGGTCAGACATGGTAGAACGAAGAGTGTCGTGCCACTCACGAGGAGCCTGACGGAGACCGTAGACCGGTCGCCTCAGCCTTTACTGGGTCCCAGGAGGGAAAGTGCCAGTGAAGGCAGAGGGACGACGTAACCAGACCTCCTCGTGTAGGCTACCCTGAAGGAAAGCAGTGGAGAAGTCGAGAGAGTGTAACTCGTAGTCTCTCTGTGCTGCCACGTGATGTAACACTCGAAGAGTTGTCATCTTCAGGGTGGGCGCGAAGGTCTGAAAGAAGTCAACTCCCTCGCGCTGACTGAAACCTCTAGCCACATAACACACCTTGAAGACCGGAGGAGATCCCGGTGGCCGCTTCACCCTGAAGATCCACATGCCATCGACTACGTTCGCCCCAGGAGGGGAAATTTCGTCGACGTAGGTGCCTGTGGATCTGTAA